CCCCCTTCCCCTCCCCCTTTTCTGATGAAGGGTCTAGGCCCGAAACGTCAGCCTCTCTGCTCCTATGATGCTGCTTGGCCTGCTGTGTTCATCCAGCCCTGCACCTTGTTGACTCAAATAACATTGTAGGGACCTGGGTTCAAATCCCACCATGGCTGATGGTAGAATTTGAATTCAGTAAAAAAAGGATCTAATTCAAGTTCTAATGATGATAACCATTAATCCATTGTCAATTGTTGGAAAAACCCATCTGGTTCACTAATGCCCTTTTAGGGAAGGAAACGGCCATCCTTACCTGGTCTGGGCTACATGTGACTCCAGACCCATGGCAATGGGGACAACTCTGAACTAGGGATGGGCAATAAATGCTGCCTGCCAGCAACACCCTCATCCAGTTAATAAACTTAAAATATAGTGATAAAATTACTTTGAGACTGAGTTATTAGTACCAGTCGCAGACCAGAAGTGTTGGGATCAAACCCTGAAGAACGTATTTCAGTATGAGTACAAAGAAGACCACGTGCAGGAAAATCTATCTACAGTTTCAGTGGCTTCAACCTACTGAGGTGTTAAATACAGTGACTCTGGTGTAAGTATTGTATCAGTAGTGTTTTGGGTATTACGTAAAAGCTGTTTTGTGCCTTCTCAATTTATAAGGAAGTAGTTTGGGATTAAAGGGATTGTATTTATGCACGTTTAAAAATCTTAGAATTTGTATCATGAGTAAATGGCTTGGCTTATTCTACGTAATCTTCATTTCCTTGATTAATAAACCACTGTTTTATTGTTGAAACAAAGCCTGTAGCATTGTGTGCTTATATTTCAGCAAGGCACCTTTTTATTAAAACCAAAACAAATCAAATTATGATCTATTAAGCCAGGTTCCTGTCTGGGATTTGACTTGTCCTTTAATAACATCAGCTAGGATCATAACAGTATCTGTTAGCTTTTCTTTAATGAGGTACTGCTTTTAAACTTGAATTATTGCTCCTTCCGGTCTTGCACACCCCCCATTAAAACAACAGACAAGATTCTCAATCCTTAGCATGGGTCAGTAATGCAAAATCTACAGCTGTGGGCATTGAGTAGAGACAGTATTCAGCTTTGCTATAACGACCAATGAATGTGTTCACTCTTCCTGTACGAGTATGAAAGTGGCCATTGTTTATCCACACAATTAGATGCATATATTAATTCTGCTTTATCTATACAACATGATAATGCAACTGACAAAATTCTGAGATTATTACAATGTGAATAGCTGCTTCATATTTAAGACTGGAAAAATACTTAAGAGCCATGGGTCTTTGAGCAGCTTCAGATTTAATTACAAAAACCATGATTTCAATTTCTCTATAATGCCAATGAAGTACATTTTACTATGTTAAAGGTGCTATATAAATGCAAGTTATTGGTATTCCTACCCTACAGGATTCAAATAACGTGGAGTCAGAAGAATATATACCAAATCTAATTTAGCTTCTCACTTAATACATTTAAAACTTTTATTAGACCAAACAAGGAACACTCTTTATATATACAGGGAATAATCCAGAAATAAATAGATATGGAATAAGTTAACAGATCAGTGAAACATATATGGTTAAACTCTGAAATAAACACACTTGACAAAGGGATAGCCCACTTAAGCAAATGGAATATCAGTACAGAAATTTACTTTTTTATGCCTTCCAGGTTTCCAGAATGTTGAATGAACTGCCAATATAAATGAATATCTGCATACTGCCTCCTATCTAATACTCCTCATCTATCTCCACTTCCAGTGCAGCACATCATCTGAATCCTGCATGAGGAATACATTATGCAACTGAGAGTCAAGTGCAGCAGTTTACTTCAATATAATTAAACTGGTGAACACAAATAAACTGTTGGTGTCATTGGATGCTGACTGTATGGTCTATAGATATGGACCATGGAAAAATAATAGGTAAAAGTAATTTGCAAGATGATAATACGGGAGAAGGGTGGGAGAACCAGCAGACTATAGTAATGAAAAAAATTGCAACATAATGAATAACCAAATAAGTATTTTTGAAGAACAGACTGTATTCTGATCAAGAAACGTTAACTCTGCTTTCTCCCCCCAGATGCTGCCAGGCCTGCTGAATTTCTCTGGCGATTTCTGTTTTTGTTTCAGGCTGTACACTTCAATAGACCCCACTAGTTTAGATGGGATAAAAAGACAAATAAACGGGTTACTGAAGAAAGACCGATTCCAGAGACCTGTTAAAAAGGTGAAATTAAGATTCATCAAAAGGACAACCTTCTTCGATGAAGAATATTTTTCCTGTTCTTAACATTTTCTGTTTCAATGACTGGTTTCAAGTGGAAGCAAACAAGAGATATCAAAAAAGAGTCATACTGTATACACAATATTTAAGGTATTTACATTGATGCACATATATACACATACAAAATACTATAGTTATAAAATAACTCAGTGTCTAAGATTGTTTCCCAGTCTCCAGAGTTAGAATCGAAAGGCCTGTTCACTCAGACTGGATTATGTTTGGTACTGGATAAGTTCTTCCTGAAGTCTTTTCCAGCCATGCCTATTTTTCCAGCCATAGATCTGTGCAATTTTCTGGGCTTTAATTATCCTTTGTATTTAATGCATCCAAAACCTAAAAAAAAAGTGCCAAACTGAGAGTCCATCTTCGTTTGTTAAGAATACATTCACTTGTTTGGTTCCTTCATTAAAATAGTAAAATATTACCCATTTCTTAAAATTTTCATTACTGCACCAAGTGAATTTTTTCCCTTTAGCCCATTAGGTTTGTCACAGCTTTTTATCATTTTTGAAATAAAGCAAAATTCCTAGAGAGTAGGAATCAGGTGTTATCAAATATTTTAAAAATATATTTGATCAGTTGTTCCAAATGTATGAAAATCATCCATTTCAAAAGATCATCAGCAGTTTTTAGTTGGAGATGCCATACAGTTCCCTCTGTTACAATTGTTCACAGTTGTGCATTGACCTTGACTTTAAGCAAAGCAGCAGAGGACAAGGCTCCGGCTCAGAGTGCATTAGGTTTTGTCATTACAGAATCTTCAGATCATTGAAAGCATCTCCATTTGAATCAATGGATAGTGTGTCACTGCATCATTTTCTTGCTGTCCTTCAGAAGTCAACTCTAACTTGCAATGGTCCTGGCACCAGGGCATGTGAGTTTGTTCCCATAGCTGGCACTCCTTAATCGCACTGTCCAGACGGTTCCTAATTGTTGACTGACAGATGGTGGGTTTCTGCACAGATTTAACGTCGGCCTGTACCCCAATCTCCTGAAGGAACTCAGGAAGTTGTGATGGTAAACCGTAGATTGGCATTATGTTAAATATATCTGGTATATCTTCCTTCTTCTGCAAATCTTCAAAGTATGCAACAATGTACCTCTCAAAAACATTTCCTTTTATGATATCAGGGAGAACACAGTTCAAGGAAGCCATAAATCCATCGTATGGGTCATGCATGGTTTTGACGCCTTCAGAGGACTGGAACCATTCATTACATTTCATACTGGCACCCTTGGAGAAGAGAATGAGGATTTTCCCACCTTCTTCTGTAACTTTATTTTTCTGGGAATGGAACCATGGCAGGGGACCTTGGTCAGCCAGTTCTCTACGTTTCCATAGATCCACAGCTACTTGAAATTTAAGTTCACACAAGACTGATGCAAGAGTGTTAACCAACTTTTCAAACAGATTGTAATCCAGCGAATATAGAAGAAGAACCTTCCTATTAGTTGAAGAATCTGAAAAAAAACCCAAAATATCATAAGCTGTAACATGTAAATAAAAGAACAGCATTAGTATAGTGCATCAGCAAAATTTAGATCTCCCATAACAGATAAGAAATACAGATAAGAGATTATAACAGAGTAAAATATCAGTTCTGAAGAAAAGTAATATCTGATTCAAAATATTAAGGCCAAAATTTCATTTGCCTTCTTAGTTACTTGTTGCACCTGCGTGCTAATGTTTTGTGTTACATGCATGTGAACACCCAGATCCCTCTCCATTGCACTTTTTTGGAGTTTCTCTCTATTTAAATAATAGTCTGGCTTTTGATTCTTCCTACCCATCTTGACCACTGCCCCTGTTTGCTCTGCAAGGATTACAGACAATTGACAAAGCAATTGCTTAAGGCAGATTTCCTCCTGAGGGAATGGGGGGTGCCAAAGATCCACCTCAGGTCATTAGCTGCAATGTAATGCAGTGCAGTGTTATCAGGGTCATGGGCCATTCCCCTTTGATCTTTTTAATCTGAGGCAGCCATTAGGGCACCCCATTAAATGAAACTTTATAATTCTACAAATTCAAGATGTAGGTTTCTTCTTGTCCAGGGAAGAAATGTATGGAACATTGTCCCAATAGAAGCAATGGATGAAATTTTATATTAGAATTGAAGGGTTGAATGCTTCAGATTTCTGGAAAATAAATGGAGGAAAGAGCGAGATATTACTGAATTGCTGCTGGAGAAACTGCTATTCTCTGAACACTGGGATCAGATAGATGATCAATGGTCTTTTCAGTTCAGTGTATTTCTTTGTTCCTGATTATCAGTCAAGTTTGCAATGTGGCTCATTTATGCTTGCTTAAAGTGACCTACGCAGGAACCACAAAAGAATTGTGCTCAAGTCTTGTGTGTTTTATAGTTATAGGGAGCTTCTGAAGCAGGTGGATGGCACAGTGGCTTAGTGGTTAGCACTACTGCCTCACAGTGCCAGGGTCCCAGGTTTGATTCCAGCCTTGGGTGAAAGTGTGTGGAGTTTGCACTTTCTCCTTGTGTCGACATGGGTTTCCTCCAGGTGCTCTGGTTTCCTCCCATTGTCCAAAAGATGTGCAGGTTAGGTGGCTTGTCCATGCTAAATTGCCCTGCAGTGTCCAGAGACGTGAAGACTGGGTGGGTTAGATGAGGTAAATGCAGCGTTATGGGTTAGGGTAAGGGGCTTGGTCTAGGTGGGATATTCTTCAGATGGTCAGTGCAGACTTGATGGGGGCCCAATTGACTCTTTCTGCACCGTAGGGATTCTATGATTTTATGGTTCTATAAGCCTATAGTTCCCCAATGCTTTTCCCGTGGCAACACCTCAGTCAGAGTCAACTTGCCAACGAGTCAGCAGTATCTTCTCCTGTAGTATAAATTATTGTGGCCTTTTGAAATTTGACATTCTTGTATTTGTCCTGATTAGCACAAGTCTCATTAACAAAAGTCTCTCCTGTCAGAGATGTTCAAGTTCTGTACTAACAAGTAACTGTCACTAATACTTCCCCTACACAAACAATTGGACATGTAGAATGTAACCAAGCACCACATAAAACTTGTTTCAAGTCCAGGCTAGGAAATAAAAATAGCCTTCTTTGTTACCCTTTCTGAAAGTTTACCTGCAACTGTTGCAGTGGGTTTAAATTTGATCACCTTTATGCAACCTGTAGAAACAAAGCAAAATTTGGGCTAAGATACCACTCAAAAAAGTAACAACAAATATTGTAATTATTGAATATCTTCCATATAGTGAAAACATTCCAAAGTGCTTTATAGCTAATTCAGTGTTCACTGTACAAAACTAACAAAATTAAATAACCAAATAATTCCAATGGCATTGGTTGAGGGATAGGTATTGATTGGGACATCAAGGAGAATTCCCATGCTCATTTATAAAGTATCATGTCCATGAGAAAGTTCACAGGGGTTCTTCTTTTAACATCTAACGTGAAAGATGGCATCTATGACAACGTGGTGCTCCCTCAAAGCTGGAGCATCAGTCTAGACTTTTGTGCTCAATTCTCGAGTTGAACTTGACCCCACAACCAACTGAGCCATGACTAACGCTCAGTCAGAAGTGCACAACTGCAGGCATTTCTGTGTGACCAATAATCTATTAGTAAAATCGAAACCGGAAGCATCGCAAAATCTAAATTTCCAAATGTGTGATATATTTCCAATATAAGCTACCTTCCATAACATTACATGTGGTAATTCAAAACCATATGTAGTTTTTAAGTGAACAAAGATTAGATGTTGGGAATGATTGTTTAAGGGCACGCTGACATAAGTAAATGCCCATTTTGAAGTCATACATTCTGTCCTTATTTTCTGTTCCTATTTCTGATTCCTTTCATATCCACATTTATAAAAGAAGCTTGCTATGCTGCAATAATTCACCTTCCAATGCTGACTTGAGTCCCACTAGCTGCTGTGTAATCAAGAGAGTAACATGTTTACATCGATTATTTCCATATTTAAAAAAAACGGGACATTGAGAGAAAAGATGACTGGAAGTGTATACAGATGGAAAACTCTGCATACAAATTTGTCTTATCAGAATTTTGGAATGTCTGAAATCAATTCAGGCAAATATTTCAAGTAACAAACCGCAGAATCTGGAAATCTGAAACAAAATTGCTGGAGAAACTCAGCAGGTCTGGGAGTATCTGTGGAGAGATTCTAAAGTTCTGAAGTAAAGTCACAATTGCTTTCATTCGATATTAACTATGTCATATGAACACCCAAAAAATGGCTAACAAGTCAGTTTTTTTTTAAAAAAGTAGTGATCATTGTTGTGGGAAGAGGGTTAGATGAGGACACTTGCGAAACTCCCTGCTCCTCATCAATTAGCACAATGGTAATTTTAATGCCCACTCCAATAGATGGAAAGCATTTCAATCTATAGCTCATCCAAAAATGCAGAGCTCTTCAGTCTCAGTCTATGTTAGATGCTTGGATCTTGGTCTGGGCTCAAGCCTGGAGCTGAAAGCACTGTCAGAGAACTATGTCAATGTCAATCATAACCAGAACTCCATTTATACTTTAAAACTGTCAGTCCTCATGTATAGATGCTAAGGATTATAGAATGCCTGTTTCCTTACCTTTCAGTATCTGGGTCTTGATGGTAATCATGAAAATCACAATTGTAAAAAGTACTAGAAATGATACCAGCAATGGAGTCCATCGAGCTCTGGCATCTGCAAACAAGCAAGGCATCATCAAGTCTGGTAGAGATTGGTAGAGATAACAATACAAATTAGATCACAGTGAGCTCCTTCAGCCCACCATTATATGATAAATGAGCAACACTTTCAATTTGATAAAGGCTGAATTCACTGATTAGAAATGCTGAAGCTACAAGTTAATGAGGAATTAACTGTAAGGCAGAGAAATTTAGAAACACAAATAATACCTCTGAAGGTTTGGTGCATAGATGCTGAACAGAGCAGCACTGAAAGTACATATCCTCAGTTTATGCTATATTAGAGATCAGTCAGGACAGCAACAACGCATCAAGATTAGCATCGGTGCCATTTTAAAAGTCCTATTCCTGAATTATAGCTCATGAAATCTATTGAAAAGTATACATGGTGAAGAGCAATCGGGAACGAGATTGCCCCTGACTGTAATACCTTTTGTGCTAAAATCTTATACATGTCACTTATATGCTGGTACATTAATATTTGGCTTCAAAAGAAAGGTACTGAAAGACTGCTGGAATCCATTAAATTCTGTTCGGCAGCTCCAATACAGCAACAGAAGAAAAGAACCAAAATATTAGAGAATTAGGTCAAAACTACAGAGAGGCAACACCAAGTGGTATTATTACTGGAATGTTAATCCAGAGACCCAAGTAATGTTCTGAGGACCCACATTTGAATCCTGCCATGGCAGATGGTGGAATTCGAATTCAATAAAAATCTGGAATTAAGAATCTACCAATGATCACGAATCCAGTGTCGATTATCAGGAAAAACTCATCTGGTTTACTAAGGACCTTTAGGGAAGGAAACTGCCATCCTTACCTGGTCTGGATCTATATGTAACTCCAGATCCACAGCAATGTGTTGACTCTGAACTGCTCTTTGGGCAATTAGGGATGGGCGACACCCTCTTCCCATAAATGAATAAAAACAAAACCATCTCTGAAAAGTGACTTGGATAGAATTTGAAAGGGAAGGGAAAGCATATTCTTAATTAATGCATCCAAATCTGTTCTTTTTTCCATTTAATAACATCCTTCTCTCACTTTACTTGCACACCATGAGTCACAGTGGCTTTTTTTTTTTAACCCAAAGCCTTATTCATGCTAGGATGTCTGTTGTGATATTCTCACCCTCATTAATGCTCATTTCGTGTGACTCTTTTTAATGTAGACTAATTGAGTATGCACTTTATAGCTGCGCAGGGCTGGCTTTCACCATTTGGTCACTGTGTATGAACAAACTGCTGCTTTTGATTAAAATAGCCAAATTTGTTCAATGCAATAAAATCCTTATTAGGTTTTTAATGTATTGTATAATACTCACATATATCAAAGGGACAAATGGTGATTCTGGGTGAGAACTGCACATCTGATCGCCAGACCTGAAAGATACAAGAGCTCTGTTAGACCAGACGGCCATCATGAGTTGATATCAATTGTTTTGGCAAGTTATTCTCTACCACACATTTTGCAAGGTGTTTTAATGAGGCATAAAATTAAAGCCCAGTCTACTTTAACACTCTTTGGAGGAGAGCAGAAAGATCCCTGGCAGCATAAATTGTTCCACCAACCAACACTGGCAAATGAAAGCAAACCATCTGGCCATTCATTTGAGTCATATAGCATGGAAACAGACCTTATATTCCAAATAGCCCATGTCAACCATGTTCCCAAACTAAATTCGTCCCACCTCCCTGTGCTTGGCCCATATACAAACATTTCCTATTCATGAACTTCTCCAAATGTCTTTTAAACGTTGTAACTGTACCTGCATTAACCACTTTCTCTGGCAGTTCATTTCACACACGAACCAGACTGCGTAAAAAATTGCCCCTCAAGTTGCTTTTTAAATCTTTCTCCACTCACCTTCAAAATATGCACCTCCTCATTTGAACTCCCTCACCCTAGGGAACAGACCAGTGTCTGCGTCAGTACTATTCACCTTATCTACCCCCTCATGATTTTATAATCCTCAATAAGGTCACTCTTCAATCTCCCATGCTCCAGTGAAAAAAGCCCCAGTCTTTCCAGTCTATTTTTATATCTCACACCCCCCATTCTGACAATATCCTGGTAAAACTTTACTGAACCCTCTCCAGCTTGATAATATCCTTCCTGTAACAGGGCGACCAGAACTGCACACAGTACTCCAGAGAGGCCTCACTAATGTCCTGTATAACCACAGCATGACATCCCAACTCAAAAGGTCTGAGCAATGAAGGCAAGCATGCAAATCACTTTCTTAACTACCTTGTCTACATGTAATGCAAATTTCAAAGAAATATGTGCCTGAACCCCTAGGTTTCTCAGTTCTACAACACTACCCATTAGCATTAACACTAGCATTAATTGTACAAGTTCTGTCCTGGTTTGTATTACCCTAGCTATTTCAAAATTGGTTGCTCCTTTTGGCTAGTTAACAAAGATGACTGCACTTCAAGAGGCAATTCATTGTTTGTAAAGAGTCTTGGAATTACTTAATGGAATGATGAGGATCTATATGGATTATTTCTATGCTGGAGTAACTACAGTATTAACCTATCCTAGTGAACGGTTGTTTTAACCATTTTAATGAGAAAACAAGTTTTGTTCAAACAAATTGTTGCTCATCAATTTTTAATATCATCAGATCCGCATTTGAATATTTTAAATGATAGTTTTAGAAAATATTTGTTCTTGGAATATGAGCATCATTAGCAAGGCCAACATTTATTGCTTGAACATAACTGCCTTTAATAAGTTGGTGATGAGTCACCTTCTTGAATCATTGTGTTCCATGTGATGCAGATACATCCATAGTGCTGTAAGGAAGGGAGTTTCAGTTTGGAAACAATGATAGCGAAAGAGTAGCAATATAGTTCCAAATCAGAATGTTGTATTGCAGCGAAGTCTTGAGGTACTGGCACTGTGATGTGTCTTGCTGCCTTTGGTGTTTTAAGTGGTAGAAGTTGCAGATTTAGAAAGTGCTATCAAAGGAGCCTCACCAAGTTCCTGCAATGCATCTTATAGGCAGTAAAAGGGCAGCTCCATCTCATGTAAAAACATTGCAAACTGTTTAACCTCACCCACATAGAGATAAGTCAAAAACTGAGTCAGAGTCAGAAGATACTGAGTTCAATTCAAACTCCAGGAAACACTTAGTCCAGACTTAAACATCAGTACTGTGTTAGTTGAATGATTCTCTTTCTCTTTTTCTTTCCATTACTTTTACTTTCCTCAATTTATGGCAGCTTACTCTCTATGCTACTTATAGCCAGATTTCCTGACAAGGTGACATATTGAAAAATATTGTTGCAGTTAAGTGCTGCTACTGAGTTTGTTACAAAAACTGGTGTTGATTTTCTCTAACATCTGCCAAATTCATTCTTAAAGGAAATCAGCAAAGAATGATTTAACATTAATGTTACATGTTAGATTCTTAACATAATGGGATAAAGTTCTGACCCAGGGCAGGAATTTACCCAAGAAGAAACCAGAACTGTAGATGCTGGATATCGGAAACAAAAAACCAGAAATTACTGGAGAAACTCAGCAGGTCTGGTAGCATCTATGGAGAGAAAGCAGAGTCAACATTTTGGGTCCAGTGACCCTACTTCAGTTCTGACCCAAAACGTTGATTCTGCTTTCTCTCCACGGATGCTGCCAGACTTTCCCAGTTTCTGTAGCAATTTCTGGTTTTGTTTCAGGAATTTCACCCGTGGTTAAAAGTTTACGTAAATCTATTTTTCTTTTGGCATTTTCTTTCTCTGTTGCCTGGAGTGATACTATAAAGTTATAGAATCATAGGATCCCTACAGTGTGGAAGCAGGCCATTCGTCCCATTGAGTTGACACCACCGCTTCAAAAGAGCATCCCATCCAGTCCCAACTCCTTACCTTATCCATGTAATCCCTGCATTTCCCATGGCTGATCTGCCCAACCTACACATCCCTGAACCTTACGGGCAATTTAGCATGGCCAATCCACCTAACCTGCGTATCTTGCACTGTGGGAGGAAACCAGAGCGCCCAGAAGAAACCCACACAGACATGGGGGTGGGGAAAATGCGCAAACTCCACACAGACAGTCACCCAAGGCTGGAGTCAAGCCTGGGTCCCTAATGTTGTGAGGCAGCAGTGCTAACCACTGAGTCAATTACTGTATGGGCAGAATTGTTTTAACATTAAAAGATTTCAGGCTCACTATTGCAGTGCACAATCCTACAAAGAACAGCCAGTTAACAGGTCAACTTTGTGTCTGCAGCCAATTAAGGAGAATAGATGGGTCCTCAAGGTGGAAGACCCAATAGTATAGGATCTGAACAGTTGTGGACAGACAGCAGCCCCATCACGTTGCAGGGGCTGGGGGGTTGGGGGTGGCGGGGGGGGAGCGGTTGGTGGTGGGGAGTATACTGTTGAGGCAGTTGGGAAAGCACAGAAGTGCCTCAAAATAGAGACTATAGCTGCTATAAATCACTTTTAAAGATTAGGAATGTCCACGGGGTTTGGAGTGTCAGTGTGAATAGGAAACTCTCTCCACAGGAATGGCTTTGCCTGAGGTCGTGTGCTTTTGATTCTTGTGGCACAATGATCGAGCCAGTCAGAGGAGACACCAATGGCTCTCCCATCATGTCCAACTTGCTGCAAACTTTTGGGTTTAGCAGCAGGGCCTGTCCGGCACCAGGAAATACCTTAAGTGGCTGAGGCCTGCCCCTAAGTGGAATATTCAGTGACCTTATGAGTTTCTCACTTCTATGGAGCAGGTTGTCAATTTCTCAAGCAGCCTACCCTACCAAACTAACAGAGGCAGGACAACACTGCGAAACTTACCTGACACAAAAGTATTTAATTTTCACATCCGGCCTTCTACCACCCTCCAAGGCACCCTGAGGGAACTGGAGGATTCCCCCTTCTGTTTTCCCTGAATGTATTCAGGAAGTGGGGTGTGGGTGTATTTTTGACACAAGGCACCACCAGAGAGAATAAAGAACTTCAGCAACTTGGAATAAATGCAAATTTTTTTGGTCATTTTCTTGCACACAGGAGACGTTGCTACTGCCCAGGAATAACAGACTTAGCAAATGCCAGGAAATAGATATTAAAAACAAATCTTAGTTCACGTGGTCAGCAGGGGATTTGTACAATGTAATCTCAATTAAGAAGCACGAGTAAAACATTGATTGAACTTTTTCGGGAGAGTATGGGATTTCAGCGGTTAATTTCAGACCTTAAAATGACGCACTAAGATGTCAAAGATCTTTACTGGAATAACCAGATCTTCAGGTGATTACCGTCCCGTGGAGCTGCCTTTTTATCGTCTCCAAAAATGGTTCTAAGAATGCTGCATTACCTAGAACTTTACAAGTTACTGATCCAATAAAGAAAGAGGAAATTATATTTTCCACAGTGCAGATCTTGTCTTGCAATGCAGAATAAAAAGCATTTTTATTACTTTCTTACCTTCCTATGGTGCTGAGGTGTTGATGCCTGGACACCTCTGGAACACCACTGGTCTTCCTGTGTGAGACCTTTTTAGCGGAGGGGGGGTACATCACAGACAAGACAGCCTTTCTGCTCCTATGATGCTGCTTGGCCTGCTGTGTTCATCCAGCCCTGCACCTTGTTGTCACAGACAAGACCATTCCTGTCTTCAGCCAATTCATTTGGGGAGGAAAATACAAGTAAAAGTTGATTTCCTACGACCCTACTTGAATCCAAAACTGCTGAGGCCAACCGAGATACTCCAATCATTAGATTCATCACTGAGTGGGAATCAAATTAAAGGATCTTTCTGATCCTTAAGATACACTTGTGAACCAGGCAGTCCATTTATCCTCAAGGTCACTTTTAGAACTATTAAGAAAACTTTGACTGTGCAATGTTACTAACCTGAAAGCAGTCCTGTGAAACAAGATTCAGTTGCTTCATTTGCTCGTTAATCTGTGTTAGTCACGGAAGAAAACTGAAATTAGTAACAGTCGTAAAGACAAATTATATGGAATAAAAGTATCCAATTCCTCATAATTGGTCAGTTCTGAATAAAGGAACGTCTCTTACTTACTACATACCAAATGTTCCGCAGCAAATAATACTAGAACAGGTTAAACCATTGTAATGGTTCATTAATCTATAGCTTTTGTGATAATGGCTTTCCTTTTTGATAAAGGCGAGGCAAATCACAGCTGATGAATGGAATCAGTTTTCTATGTTGGATATCTGTTCAACATTATGACTTCCCAACTGATAGTATGACAGAATACAGCTCCCATCAATTAGACTAGAATAGAATCCCTACACAGTGTGGAAAGAGGCCATTCGGCCTATCAAGTCGGCACTGACCCTCCAAAGAGAAGCCCACCCAGACCCAGCACCTACCTATCCCTGTAACCCGACATTTATAAAATTGTTCAGCATTCTGGCTTATTGACCACCTACACCAAAACCAGTTATCAATATGGCCACACTGAATGCAAGTGGAAATTTATTGCCAAATTCCATGTATTTTTGTACTCTGGCCCTCATTAAGAGCTGGCTTAAAGCTGTTGAGCCCATTTCAACTGAAGCCTTTCTGAGAGCTTCGAAAGTGCGAGCTAGATTTGAACTCAGATCACACGCTATTCGTAATTGAAATGAAAATGCATTTCCCTTTCCCATTAACAAGGTAGTGCAAATAAACCAGTCAGAACCAATTTCTGACATTTTGTTTTAAATGGAATCGGCAGATGAGAGATTCTCTTCGGCTTGTACATCCCATTGTATTCCTGTAAAGCTCCTGATGGTAAGCAATACAGGCTTATGTATGTCCACACAGATTTAAAAAAAGACATTAACTTCACTAAGCAAAGGAACAAGAAGCATGATCCACTAGTTTAATGTGAGATACTGCAAGAGAACTGCTCATGTGTGATTCTCCACACAGAATGATTATCTTTGTAGGAGTGGCTGTGTGGTGTAGCAAATGAATCGCTTTGGATAACGGGTTAGCTTATAACTGTCTTTGTTCATTTACCTGCTGATGACACAAACAGGCTTCTGAATACTGGGTGCCCTACATTTGATAACCAATAGGATTCTGAATTTGGAAGAAAAAAAAAGAGATGATATCATTCAAACATAGAATTCTGAAAGGGATTGATTCGTAGACTTATAATTTTTTATTCATTTGTGGGATGTGGGCGTCGCTGGCTGGCCAGCATTTATTGCCCATCCCTAGTTCCTCTTGGGAAGGTGGTGGTGAGCTGCCTTCTTGAACCGCTGCAGTCCACCTGCTGTAGGTTGACAAACAATGCCATACAAAGAGAATTCCAGGATTTTGACCCAACGACAGTGAAGGAATGACAATATATTTCCAAGTCAGGATGGTGAGTGTCTTGGAGGGGAACTTGAAGACAGTGATGTTCTCACATATCTGTTGCCCTTGTCCTTCTAGATGGAAGTGATTGTGGGTTTGGAAGGTGCTGTCTGAGGATCTTTGGTGAATTTGTGCTGTGCATCTAGTAGATAGTACACACTGCTACTGACTGTTGGTGGTGGAGGGAGTGAATGCTTGTAGATGTAGCGCCAATCAAGCGGGCTACTTTGACCTGGATGGTGTCAAGCTTCTTGGGTGTTGTTGGAGCTGCACAGATCCAGGCAAGTGGGGAGTATTCCATCACACTCCTGACTTGTGCCTTGTAGATGGTGGACAAGCTTTGAGGAGTCAGGAAGTGAGTTACTCGCCACAGTATTCCTAGCTTCTGACCACCTCTTGTAGTAACTGTGTTAACGTGCTGAGTTCAGTTGAGTTTCTGGTCAATGGTAACCCCCAGGATGTTGATAGTGGGGGATTCAGTGATGGTAACACCATTGAATGCCAAGGGGTGGTGGTTAGATTGTCTCTTATTGGTGATGGTCGTAACCTGGCATTTGTGGGGCACGAATGTCACTTGCCACTGGTTAGTCCAAGCCTAGATATTGTCCAGATCTTGTTGCATTTGAACATGGACTGCTTCAGTATCTGAGCTGAACATTTTACAATCACTGATGAACATCCACACTTCTGACCTTATGATGGAGAGAAGGTCATTGATGAAGCAGCTGAAGATGGTTGGGCCAAGGACATTACAATGAGGAACTCCTGCAGAGATGTCATGGAGCCGAGATGATTGACCTCCCACAACCACGACCATGTTCCTATGTGTCAGGTATCACTCCGACCACTGGAGATCTGATACCCATTGATTCCAGTTTTGCTAAGGCTCCTTGGTGCCACACTCGTCCAAATGCAGCCTTGATGGAAGGGCTGTCGCTCTCATCTCACCTCCAAAATTCAGCTCTTTTGTCCATGTTTGAACCAAGGCTGTAATGGAGTCAGCAGCTGAGTGGACCTGGTGGAACCCAAACTGGGCGTCATTGGTTATTTCTGAGCAGATGCTGCTTGATGGCATGTTGATGACACCTTCCATCACTTTACTGATGATTGAGAGTAGACTGATGGGGTGGTAATTGGCCGGGTTGGATTTGTCCTGCGTTTTATGTACAGGACATATCTGGGCAATTTTCCACATTGTCAGGTAATTACCAGTGTTGTAACTTTACTGGAACAGCTTTACTGGAGCACAAGTCTTCAGTACTATTGCCAGAACATGGTCAAGGCCCGTAGCCTTTGCAGTATCCAGTGCCTCCAACCATTTCTTGATATCATGTGGAGTGAATCGAATTGACAGAAGACTGATATCTGTAATGCTAGGGACCACTGGAGGCCAAAATAGATCATCTACTCGGCACTTCTGGCTGTAGATTGCTGCAAAAGCTTCAGCCTTATCTTTTGCACTGATGTGCTGGGTTCTTCCATCATTGAGGATGGGGATATTTGTGGAGCTTCCTCCTCCAGTGAGTTGTTTAATTGTCCACCACCATTCACGACTGGATGTGGCAGGACTGTAGAGCTTAGATTTGATCCATTGATTGTAGAATCACTGTGCTCTGTATATCACTTGCAGCTTATGCCAGTTGGTATGCAAGTAGTCCTGTTTGGTGGCTTCGTCAAGTGGATACCTCATCTTCAGGTATGTCTGGTGCTGCTCCTGGCATGCCCTCCTGCACTCTCCATTGATACAAGCTTGATGGTAATGATTGAGTGGGGAATATGCCAGGCCATGTGGTTACAGGTTGTGTTGCTGTTGATGGCCCACAGCGCCTCATAGATGTCCAGTCTTGAGTTGCTAGATCTGTGCGAAACCTGTCCCATTTAGCATGGTGATAGTGCCACACAATACAATGGAGGTTATTCTCAATGTGAAGGCAGGACTGCATCTCCACCAGGACTGTGTGGTGGTCACTCTTACTGATACTGTCATGGACAGATGCAACTGAAGCTGGCAGGTTGGGGAGGATGAGGTCAAGTATGTTTTCCCTCACCACCTGCCACAGACCCAGTCTAGCAGCTATGACCTTTAAGACCTGACCAGCTCAATCAGTACTACTGCTGCTGAGCCACTCTTGGTGGTAGACATTGAAATGCCCCACCCAGAGTACACTTTGTGCCCTGGCATCCTCAGTCCTTTTTCCAAGTTGTTCAACATGGAGGATGGTATGTGGTAATCAGCAGGAGGTTTCCTTACTTGTGTTTAACCTGAAGCCATGAGACTTCATGGGGTCCACGGTCAATGCTGAGGACTCCCAGAACAACATCCTCCCGAATGTATATTACTGTGCCATCACCTCTCCCAGGTCTGTCCTGCCAGTGGGACAGGACATATCCAGGGATGGTGATGGTGGTGTCTGGGACATTGTCTGTAAGGTATGATTCCATGAGTATAACTATGTCAGGCTGTTGCTTAATTAGTCTGTGAGACAGCTCTCCCAATTTTGGCAATAGCCCCAAATGTTAGTGAGGAGGACTTTGCAGGGTTGACAGGACTATTTCTGCCATTGTCTTTTCAGGTGCCTAGGTTGATGCCGAATGATCCATCCAGTTTCATTTCTTTAAGAGTTTGTAGTGATTGGTACAACTGAACAGCTCGCTAGGCCATTTCAGAGGGCAGTTGAGAGTTCGCTACATTGCTGTGGGCCTGGAGTACCATGTAGGCCAGACCAGGTAAGGATGGCAGATTTCCTTCTCTGAAGGACTTTAGTGAACCAGATGCTTTTTTTTGGACAATCAATGATGATTTCATGGTGATCAGTAGATTCCAGTTTTTATTTTAAATTGAATTCAGATTCCACCATCTGCCATGGCAGGATTCAAAGCCTGGTACCCAGAACATGAACTGAATTTCTGCATTAATGGTCTAGCGATAATACCACTCGGTCATCACCTACCTCTCGGACAGGCTGGGGAATGAAGAAATCAAAGGGCATTGGCTCAGGATAAGGGAGCTAATCATTTAGACTAAGACAAGGAGAAATGTATTCGCTCAGGAGGCTCTGAATCTTTGGAAGTCTCTAGCCCAAAGTGTTGAATGATTAAAAAAAAACTGTCACCAATTCAATGTATTCATTCATGGGATGAGGACATTACGAGGCCAGCATTTATTGCCCCATTCCAACGTGGAGTTAAGGCTAATGAACAGTCATGATCATACTGAATGGCTACATTGAGACACTGCACAATCGGCTCTTGTCCCTTCCTTTCATGTGCTCTCTGCTAACTGTCTCAGGCCTAAACACGCTGTCTTAGATCAGTCTGCTCTAATGCAACATGATTCTGCTTTCATTTGCAGCGTTGAAATTGAAACATCAGTTAAACCAAACACCTCAAAGCAGTTGTCTATTACAAATTTAACTTACAACTTTTATGTTCTGCGGGAAATGATCACACTTGTTTCCTTTCACTGTGCAGATCGAGAAGTTCATTTTGTTTATTCTATGATGTATAGTCAAGGTGATGTTCTTGTGCTTCACTTTAGACTCTACTTTCCACAGGAATGAATGATCTAAAAGACAATCATAGAATAATCAAGCCTGAATATACAGCAAACCTGCTTTCATGATAACTAAGTAATCCTAGAAAGATACAAGACAAGCCAGAATAGACCTTTGTTACAGTCCCAGGGTTACACAGCTCCTTTATGACTATCCTTCTCTTACTGTTATCTCACTATAAAGCAGATGAAGTCATAAAAGTCAAACTGAGGCCTTTGAAGATCCATTTCATAATTGTGCAACATCAAAATATAAAACTGTGTCCAATACAAACTGCAGGGAAACAGGACAGTTCCACAGTGAAAAGTATTACTTTATTCATGTTTTGTGTCTAATTGTATTAACATGTTACATTGTAATATAACAAATGTGGTTCAGAAACAGATATTTAGTCCAATAGGTGCTAATGCTTCACATGAGACTCCTACCCCACCTCCGTACTCAGTTCAGATGGAGGCCAAGTGCAAACAGCAGAAGGAGCATGTGAAAATCCAGACATTTACATCAACAGCACCCCCCAACCTAATCAGTATCTGCCCAGCTTTCGCACAGTGTGGGGATCCAGCATTTGGATTGCTTAGTCCTCACTAAGTCTCACAACACCAAGTGGCCTTAGGGACTGCCTAACAAATCTATTTTTATTCCTTTCCCCTAATGTTATTATCTAGCTCCTCCTTTTAGTTTTGTAAAGGTTGTGTCCAAATGCAGCATGTTGTTGGTGGTGGTGGTGGGTAGGCCACCATGTGCTCAGGTCGGCATTGGGCACAAGGCCATGCTTGGCTCAGAACTTGCTGCCCACATAAGGGCCTCTTCAAAGCACACGATTTCTGTCCCAGTCTCTTTAAATCAAGACTTGCAATTAGATATCACCTTTAATGGAGCAAAACATCAAGATGCTCTTACAGGAGCATCATCAAAATACATTTAACACTAAGTTACATAAAGTGACAGTACGGCAGGATACCAATAGCTTGGACAAGGAGGTAATTGTCAGGAGGGTTACCAGGAGAAATAGAGTTGAAGAGGCAGAGAGGTTTAGCAAGAGAATTCTAAAACTCGTTGCCCAACTCACTGAAGGAGCAACTGTCAATGGTGGGTTGACCATTGAGCAGAATGGAGGATGGTCCAGAGATCAGGATTGGACAAACACAGGTATCTCATGTGGAGCAAGAGATAGGGAGGGGTCTGGCCATGGAAGAATTAGAAAGTTGAGGTGTTGTTCAAACTGGAGTTAATGTAGATCAGCAAGCACAGAGGGGATTGGTATATGGGAATTTAATGGGGCAGAATCAGCCGGCAGCAGTGAAGGTCAAGCTCAAGTTTATGGAGGCGGAAAGATGAGAGACTTCAGCAGGAGCACACTGGAAGTCAAGTTGACAGGTAACAAAAGCACAAAAAAGGAGTTTTCAGTAGCAAATATGCTGAACCACAGTCAACAAAATGTATTGTCCCTTGTAAATTCAAACAAAGTGCCATAAAAAGCAGTCAGAAGACATGGATGACAGTCTATCAATAAAACAAAAAAAACTAGCAGCAGGTAAATTCTACTCACCAGAATCAAAAGGGCAACTAAAATTTACATGATCCCCAGAGATAATCTAAGTAAACAAGAAAATAAGTTCAGAAAAAAAAAGTATCATAATACGCAATTTAGAAACATTAACCCACAAGCCAAAAGCAGTAAATAAACTAACTATTTTAGTTTCTGTGACTGTCAATTATATGATTTAATGATTGGGAATTAAAAGAGTGAATGTAATATGCAACATTAGGTTTCTCTCACTATTGAGATTAACACTTCATTTCAGGCACACATTCATGCAGAAACTCATCTTTTAAAGATTGCATCATGTTTGTGTAAAAAGAATGTGGAATGCATTGTTGTAAGCATCAATTGAGGCATTCAAGAGAAAAGTGGATGGTTATTTAAATAGAAAAATATGCAGGGGTACAGGGAAAAGGCAGGAGATTGGGGAAAAAGTTCAAATGCTCAGGGAGGTGACAGAGACATTATATACTGAATGGCCTCCTTCTGCATAGTAACAGTTCTGGGATTCCCTGAATATCTTGTTTAAGGGATGATGTGCAGCCAAGAAAATGCAGCAACAACAACAACTTGCACATCTATAACACTTCCTACATTCAACAATGGTAAAATATTCCAAGGTGTTTCACACCAGTGTTTTCAAACAAAATTTGATACCAAGCCACATAAGGAACTGTTAGGACTGATTCCAAAAGAATCATCTTAAAAGTACAGAAGGTGAAGAGGTACGGGGAGAGAATTTAAGCCTAGGCAGCTGAAGGCATGGATGTCAATGGTGCAGCCATTACAATGGGAATGCAAATGAGATCAGAATTGAAGGAACATAGAAATCTCATCATACTTCTCAGAATCTTGGATAGATAAATAGATTTTATAACAAAAATGGGAATTTTGAAATGGAAGTGTCAGTAAGAATCAATGCAGCTCAGTGATCAGAGGAATGGGTGATGGAAATTATCAGTGTGTAGTGTTTTACTTCTGACAAAATCTATACTTTATTAGAGAGAACAATGGTATATGCAATTAATGGACAGAAATGGCATGCTGCCAGACCCGCTGAGCTTTTCCAGCAACTTTGTTTTTGTGCATGACTACAAAAGTCTGAAACAAAAACAGAAATTGCTGGAAACTCTCAGCAAGTCTGGCAGCACGTGTGGAGAGAAATCAGAGTTTCCTTCTTCAGAACTAAAAATGTCTAACTCATCGTAACATCAGTAAATACCTTTATGCAGAGGGAGGGGTGTGGATCCACACTTTTGAACTCATTCAGTTTCTGATTGGAAGAGAAAATGAAAAGGCTGAGAATAATACTCTTTTGACAGAGAACAACATTTAAAGATGCAAAGATTCGTATTCAGGTTTAGATTGGTGTGTGCTTACCCTTACTCATTCCAGCAATAAATATTTTGAGAAATACAAAAATTAGCACAGATTATGACACCACCACTACCAATACAGTAGCAGCAATATCAACACAGATATTAATGGTAGTTAACAACAGATTGTCTCTAATCTTCTGCACTGCAGTATTCTGTCTGCTCTGACATTATGATGAATAGATTTTAATTATTTTTCAAACACATCACAGAATCCCCAGAGTGTGGAAGCAGGCCATTCGGCCCATCAAGTCCACTCCAATTTTTCCAAAGAACATCCCACCCAGATCCACCCCACTGCCCTATCCCTGCACTTCCCTTGGCCAATCCACCGAACCTGCACATCTTTGGACTGTGGGAAGAAACTAGAGCACCAGGCGGAAACCCATACAGACACGAGGAGGATGTATAAACTCCATACAGGCAGCCGCCCAAGGGTGAAATCGAACCCAGGTCCCTGGCGCTGTGAGGCAGCAGTGGTAACCACTGAGCTACTGTGTCGCCCTTCGGTGGATGCTGCATGTCAGTGCATTCCCTCCCCAAAGGAATATCATGACAAGGAGGATTTGGCCCTGGACCCCTCAAGCCCAGTCTGCCATTTAATAAAATTGTGGCTGATTTGATTGTGAGCTTAACTTCACTTTCCTACCTTCCCCTGCCAGACCAATCATCGTTCAATTTAACTCCACCTTGAATGTATTAATTGATCTAGCCTCCACTGATCTCTGTAGAAGGGGTGAGCAACCTCCTGCAAAAAGAAGTTCTACCTCATCTCTGTCTTATTATAAAACCCCTTATTTTTAAGCTGCCTCCTAGGGCTCAAACACAAAATATACTCTCAGCATCTATCCTCTGAAGCCTCCCTCAGAATCTTACATTTGTCAATAAGATTATCGCTCAAACTCCAATGAGTATAGACCTAACCTGGTCAACTTTTCCTCAGAAAAGTTGAAGAATGGACAAGAAAATTTATACCCTGTGATCGGTTTGTTTCTATAGTACATTGGAATATAGGATTTAGGGGCATGGTTAGGCCTTTCAGCCCTTTGAGCCTGCTCTGCCAATTAATAACACAATGGCTAATCTGGTTATGGTCTCAACTGCACTCTCCTGACTGCCCCCAGGGTCCTAGACTCTACTCCTAATCTATCAAAGTTCTGTCCAACTCTGCCTCAAATAAAGTTAAACAACACAGCTTCCACTACTCTCTGGGCAAGAGAATTCCAGAAACTAAAATCCTCAAAGAAAATAAGATTTTATTTCCTCCTGCAGTGGAAGATATGAGATATTACAACACGTTAAGGCTATCACAAGAAAATATACCATTTCTAAATATGACAATTTTCCCTGTATTTTGTTTAGACAGTAACACAGATGTCACAATATGGTAAACCTTCCCAGCACAGAGTACCCAAATAAAATGTCAATGAGAAAGGAAAATCTTATGAATCATGAGTTGAAGTGCTGCATTAGTCTGCAAATACTCTGTCTAAATTGAGAGTGCGGCTTCATGAGATTCTTAATGGATTAACATGCCTTTGCTCCTGGCTGGTCAGGTTTAGTCCAAGAATAATGCATGATATAGACCAGAAAAGGTTCCAGCCCAAGATTCCATGCTGAAAGTCTGCAAGGTAAGGCACTGTAGTGCAATGACTGTATTACTGGACTAATAATCCAGGGATCTGAATTAATAATCCAGAGGACATCGCTTGGAAAATTTGAAATTGGGAATTGAAAACCTGGTATCGGCAGTGTCATAAAAAGACTCAAAAGGTTCTGTCAAATATTTAAGTTCAGAAAGTTTCCATTTTTATTTAATCAGTTCAATTTGTTTTCCAGTCCCATGCCCAAGACATTCACCCTTAACTCCCTGATAAAGTGAAAAAGCAAACTAATCATCTGCAACTTCAGGAAGGGAACATGTGGCAGTTTATGCAGGTCACCAATCCCTGCTCAAGACAGCTAAGGATAGACAATACATCCAATCATTTCCATTCTGGAATTTAATTTAAAAAAGAAGCAAAAAAAAGTGTCTCGTGCGATGTCCCAGTGTTGACCGTCAGAGTCACAAATCTTCAGATGAGGTCTCCAACAGGAAATGGGAGGAAGGGCCGAAAATTATAAAAAGGAAAGGTTTAAAGCATTAGTACATAATAAAATGCCAAACTGAAGAATGAAAATTGGACATAAAGAGAAATACTGGAAGTAAACAACAGTGAACGGAAGTGCATGTTAACATTTTGGAGGGAAATCTTTCATCTGGGCCTGGAATACTTGAGCATCACATTCATTTTCTAATTCTTCATTTTACCTCAGTTGAAGTGAACACAGATGAACCTACTCTGTGGACAACCATCAACACAATCCCATATATTAGTTACCAGTGATACAATAGGATATAAATTCCAACTGAAATCATAAAGATACTTTTAGGCTGTTCTTAAAGCCATGTCAATGACCTATGAAAATACTTACATTAATTTGAATTGTCTGCCTGGAGTGAGGGATCTCATGACATAGTGCATCTGTATCTCCTGTTTTTGAACATAGGGAGATCTGCCCCACAGTGTTGCATGGTGACGAGAATGTCCACTGAAGTGCTTTCCCCTTGTATTCCACTGCCAGGCTGCTCAGCTGCCATACGTTTTCTTGAAATTGCTTATCTAAAATAAATTAATACATTTAACAGAAATCAAAATATTCTCTGCACATGTTTGAAATGTTTGTATAGAGGGAGCACTATACAAATGTAAACTAGATAAATCCTTTTTGATACCGAGAGATTAAGGTAGTACCAAATGAAAATATATAAACATTATTAATAGGAACTGGATGGTTCAATGGATTAGACACAGTCACAAGAATTAGGATTGGGAGAAGGTCGTTTAGCTCCATCGTCAAGCAACAGAACTGAAACCCAGCACTGACTAGAGGACTGTGATACACAAAGATGATGATGACACACACACAAAAACACACACGCAAGGAAAAATGGACAGGGGGTGGCACGTTAGGAACCCAGGTTTGATTCCACCCTTGGGTCTGCTTGAACTTTGCACGTTCTCCCCATGTCTGCCTGGGTTTCCACCAGTGCTCTGGTTTCCTCCCACAATCCAAAGATGTGGGTGTAAGGTGGATTGGCAATGCTAAACCGCCCATAGTGTCCAGGGATGTGCGGGTTAGGTGGGTTAGCCATGGGAAATGCAGGGATTGGGTAGAGGGGGTGGGTCTGGGTGAGATGCTGTTCACTAGGTCAGTGTGGACTCAATAGGCTGGATGGCCTGCTTCCACGCTGTAGGGATAATGATTTATCTGACAAGCAGCCAAACCACTATAGCCCTCCACCAGTGAATTTTGTCCCCAGATAATCTATGTGATTGACATATTACAGACTGGACACTGCTGTATCGGTCACAGTGAAACACAGACGAGTGAATTTTGTTTATTGTAACAAACTCTATGTTTCAGCAGAGGAGCTAAAATCCTCTTCTTTCCATGTTAAGTATTACATAGCTAATTATTTATACAAATACAACACAGTGGGGACAGAAACGTTGAAAATGTAAAATAGATCTTTACTTTAAATATACGATGAGCTAAACACCCGAGGCCACAACAGTAAGAAGCAGTCAAACTCACACTTAGAAAAGGGACATTCTTCAGCCCGCCTGGCATCTTCGATTGTTGCTGACCATGCCTATCAAAACCAGAGGACTGTGTAAGCAAAGTCAGTCTGAACCATAGCTGCCCCTTCTAAATAGCCTGTAGTCCACTGCAAGCAGCATATTGAATTTTGATCCATTGGGATACAACAAGTTCCAGCCCCCAACCCCCATCTCAAGTAAATAAAACAAAACTACAATGACAACATGTAATTAGAACAATCTTACAAAGAAAACACAGCCAGGTAAAACTTCTCAGTATATTGCTACTTTTCAAGAAGAGTCAGATTACACATGGAGTCACACACACCTGTGAAAATACCTCAATCACACAACAAGCTTTTTACAAATAAATGTTATTTATCAATGGTATCAAGATTGATACTTGAAATTGCGTCTTGAATATAAACAGAGTTTACACAAGTATGTTTTCTTTAACAAAAATATAATTGGGTACTGATTTAAACATTTCCTCATGGTATAAAATCAACCGTGACTTCTGAGATATGGAACTGAATTTCCCTGTCGTTGATGGATTAACATCACAGAGGGAATTCTGATCTATACATGACACTGCTACTAAGCTACTGAAATAGCCTTCCTCAGGCCCTTATCAACTATTGACAACAGCACTCCTCAATGAGTTAATGTGGGGGAAGAAAAACTGCTGCTTCTTTCAAAAGAAACAAACAAAGGGGATGCTACTGAATTGCAAGAATACCTCAAAGAGAGGGAGGGTGTCATGGGGTTGGTGGGAGAAGTGGCATCAACAAGAAAGGCTCCCGAGTCTCCGTTCATTTTTCTGTGTGTTTGCCAGTTGCAACTCCAAGATTGATCTGAACCCACTACATGGCCCACCACTGGTGAGTTCTGCTGGTCTCCAAGGACAATTTATTAAAGCTACCTAAGCGTGAGTCCCTTCAGATTTCAAAAGCTACAGAGCAATCGCCCAAACATAGAACAAATACAGATCGTGGATAATGTTCAGAAATAGAGCTCTTCACAAATCTTAATTTTAACATTTCAGATAGAACCATATGATAGACACATACCTGCACGCACAAACAAGGGACGATGTCTGAGAAGTTAAGGTGTACTTCGGTCCCTTCCTGGATAAACAATAATGAAGAAGCATCACTCCATGTATTTATGAAAAGGCATCTTTCACTATCGTTGAAGCACAACTAACAGGCCAACCAACTTAGTGGGGTCAAAAATTTGTCTTAGGCTCTAATATAAAGTTAGTGACAGCACATTACTCAGCCTGAATATCTTTTCCATTGAAAGAATCTGAAAATGGTGTAAAAAGGGTGGCCAATTTGCCATAATCTGTTCATGAATCATCAAGTTTCACCCTCAGCCACTCTTACTTCCTACTTACGTGGTCACAGCTTTAAGCCCTTAAATTGCTCTTCAGTCAAATCCATCTGCCAAAGGGTGTAAAATTCTTTTGTTTCAAGGTGCTCAAATAGTGAACTGACAACCAAGGCTTAACCAGGCAAAAGACCATGTTTGAGCATCAGCAGTAGGTATATGATTTGAACGTTGTAGCTCTGCAGTACAATGCTGGTAGACTGCGAGATAAGGATATTTGGGGCACCTTAGGTTTTTACGTTGTGGAACTGAGTTGCTCTGGGAAAGAAACCAACGCGCGTTTATAAATCAGATTGTTGAATTGTCCTTTAAATTCCACCCAGGGCCTTCTGGATTGAACTGTTGAGAAAACCTTATAAATCCAGCCTGGAACATTTTATATTTTAAAAAAAAAAATCACTGGATAGTGATTAAACAAATCCTAATCACTCCAATTTGCAAAGTGGAAAGAATAATAGGTTTCCCATTTTTTCAGGAGACACTTTGGGGGGTGGGTTGGGAAGAAGCAAAATGATGGACCCAAAAATTCCTAGTTGCCTGCAATAGCAGTCACAATCTCACTCACTGTGTTTTGGAATTAAAATTGATTAGCTGGCAGGGGATTGACTTCATTTCAAAGTGTATCAGTCCAAATTTATTTATTCAATTGCATGATGTGGGCATCACCGACTGGGCCAGCATTTATTGCTTGTCCCTAGTTGTCCTTGACAAATTGGCAGTTAGCTGCCTTCTTGAACTGCTGCAGTCCACCTCCTGTCGGTTGACCCACAATTCCTTTAGGGAGGGAATTCCAGGCTTTTGCCCCAGGGACAGTGAAGGAATGGTGATATGTTTCCAAGTCAGGATGGCTTGGAGGGGAACTTGCAGGTGGTGTGTTCCCACATGTCTGCTGCCCTTGTCCTTCTAGATGGAAGTGGTTGTGGGTTTGGAAGGTGCTTTCTGAGAATCTTTGGTGAATTTCTGCTGTGCATTTAGTAGATAGTACACACTGCTGCTACCAAGCATCGGTGGTGGAGGGAGTGGATACTTGTAGATGTAGTGCCAATCAAGCAGGCTGCTTGAATACCATACTGACAGCTATTCCAGCCCAAGCTGCAGCCGAGAACACAGTACCCATGCCTCTGCTTGTCCTTCAAATATATATGTTCAGTTTTTAAATCATATTTTCTCTTGTCATCTCCTGACTTGTACCTTGGTTTACTTTCCTCAGTGTGAGCTAACTGTAAGCCCTCACTTAATGCCACTCTTTGACATCTAGCCAGAGATACCAACCAACCATGTGTGACATTACAGACAGTAATCTGATCCTATATGATAGTGGTTTGAAATTTAATAGAAGTGTTGAACTTTCAAGAGTTTACAGATTTACACACCCACATTAATAACAGAATTTCTAATACCACTTACCAATTTGTCAGCAAATGGTGAGTTGGTGCTTACAAACAGTGGTGTCACATTATACTTGAACAACATGTGGGAATTCTCAGGTATGTTGATCACAGCCTGTTGTGTCTTGTTGTCAAGTGTGGTATTTATATTTGGAACTGTAATGCAAGAAATTGACATGAGGAATCTTATGTGAGCCAAATTATAATTATCTTGAGTCAAAGAAGCATTAAGATTAATGAAAACTGAACCTGACATCTGGAAGTTTGGTGTAAATTCATGTCTCTCAGTTGTATAGCTTAATTAATTGTAACTTCAATGTCCTTCTCTGTCATTATTTCAGGATATTTTAAGCAAGAATCTATTGAGGGAATAAAAACCGAAAGAACTGCAGGTTCTGTAAATCAGAGACAAAAATAGAAATAGCTGGAAAAGCTCAGCTGGTCTGGCAGCATCTGTGGAGAGAAATCAAAATTAATGTTTTAGGTTGACTGACCCTTCCTCAGAACTACACTCAACCCGAAACGTTAACTCCGATTTCTCTCCACAGATGCTGCCAGACCTGCTGAGCTTTTTCCAGCAATTTCTATTTCAATCTATTGAGAAACTATTGACAAGAAAAGCTCCTAGTATTCTGTCCACTTGTCTAATCATACTTTAAGGCAAGATTGCAGATACCATGGGAAAGATTTTACACTTAAATGTTTGAAGCTCCAATGGAGTTTAAAAAATACTGAGAAACTCAGACTTCATAAATAAAAATTGTTAAAATTCACAATTGTAATTCCTTGAGTTTGCTTTACCTGGCACAATTTTAAAAAACACGTTATTCCTTCCTCCACATCTTTTTGACTCTTGCAACACGAATATCCCCGATTTCCTTCACTTTCATCTTTGGTAACTGCATTTTTAACTGGCCTCAATCTCTGATTCTCTGCCTCTCCCTCCTCCTTTTGGGCACTCCTTAAAAGCCACCTCTTTGAGCAAGCTTTTCGTCAACTGTTCTATTAGCTCCCAATACTAAAGGTGCTATATAAATGGGAGATAGCGTTGTTGTGTTACCTTGTGCAATTACCAGAAAGAACTGTTAACTTGAATTGTCATTCTACAGATTTGTTTCATTATGAGCTGTCCTGATGTTTGTTGCATTGTAACATTGGAAATCATAGAATCTTTACAGTCCAGAAGCAGGCCATTCAGCCCATTGAGTTCACAACGAGCCTCCAAAGAGCATTCCACCCACACCCACCCCCCTACCCTATGAACCTACAATTCCCATGGATAACCCCCCTTAGAGTGCATATCCCTGGACACTATGGGAAATTTAGCATGGCTAATTCACCTAACCTGCACATCTTTGATCATTTACAAATTTCAGTTCACACTCCATTTCACAGAGTCATGGAAATAGACCCTTTGGTCCAACTTAGGAGCTTCCTTCACCACTTCTATGTCATTGACATGAAGAAATAATAGATTATAAAAGTGCATGCAGTATATAAACATTGTATTTCAAACTCTGCTTCCTCACCCTTGCACCATGTTATGTTCTCCAGAAAATCTTTCAAGGTACAATCTGCAAAAAAAGAAAAAAAAAAATCCCACAGACTCGTTAGGAATTCCATATCAACATATTCAATTTGTACAGTAGTGAAGCAACACAGGCATAACCATTTCCAGACACTATAAAGTTTTAGCTGGAGATTATAAGAATCATAAAATCATGGAATGGATAGGACTTAGAAAGCAGCCATTCAGCCTCTCTCCTTATAAAGCAACTCAGCTAGTCCCACTGACCAGCCTATTCCCTATAGCACCGCAAATCATCTTAACTGCATTTTATCCAATTCTCTTCTGAAAGCCACAATTGAATAGACTTCCACCGCACTGTCCAGATATTTTAGATCTTAACCACTCACTGCAAAAATAGGTTTTTCTTTGTGTCAACCTTGTTTCTTTTTAATGTGGAGGTGCTGGTGTCAGACTGGGGTGGACAAAATCAGAAGTCACACTACACGAGCTTACAGTCCAACAGGTTTATTTGAAACTGCAACCTTTCCGAGCGCTGCTCCTTTGTCAGGTGGAATGACTTCACCTGCTGGAGGAGCAGCACTCTGAAAGCTTGTGATTTCAAATAAACCTGTTGGATTATAACCTGGTGTGGTGTGACTTCCAAATTTGTTTCCTTTTGCCATTCACCATAATTTTTTTTTCTTTAAATGGATGAGGGCATCACTAGCTAGGCAGCATTTATTGCTCATCCCTAATTGCCCTGAGGCCAATTCAGAGTCAACCACATTGCTGTGGGCCTGGAGTCACACATGGGCCAGACCTGGTAAGGATGGCAGTTTCCTTCCCTAAAGGACATTAGTGAACCAGATGGGTTTTTCCAATAATCGGCAATGGATTCAGAGTCATCATTAGATTCTTAATTCCAGATATTTTTATTGAATTCAAATTCCACTATCTGCCGTGGTGGGATTCAAACCCAGGTCCCCAGAACATTATCTCGGTCTCTGGATTAACAGCCCAGTGATAATACCACTAGGCCATCGCCTCCCCCTAGTGTCTTTTGGTTCTCCACCTTCCAGCCATTGGGAACAGCCTCTCCCTATCTACTCTGTCTACACCTGTCATGATTTTGAATGTCTAAATCAATTCTCCTCTTAACCTTCTCTTCCCAGTTTCTCCAGTCTGTTCATATAACTGGAAACATTCTCAAAAAAAAACTTTGCTGCACTCTCTCCAAAGCCGCATTTCTTCATGTCTTGCCATGCTCTTGGCATGGATGTTCACCCAAAAAAGTTCTTCCACAGGTCAGTGATCAACTTTTATTCTGATTTGGGTCAGAAATACAGAATTAAAGCGAGATCAGCGGATTCAGACCAGCAGATATCCTGGGCCTCCTGATCAGTGCTCTGCTTTGATTGCATGAGCAAATCTCCTTCCCAATTAAAATGATTGCTTCAAAACTGACTCCACTCAGCCATTGCAGCATCCTGCACCTATAGGGGAGGGTTTAAACACTTTGCGGATCAACACTGCCTCCTGTTAGCTTACCCACCTTCGACTTTATGTGTCTGTTGCAAATCCTTTTGGTTTTCATGTTTTGGGAAGGCTTTAATTAAAACATGACTGCTCATGTATGCCTGAAAGCATCTCAACTCCACGGTACCCTATTAAGAAAAGTAAAGAACAATGCTTTAACTAATCTTTTCTTGGTGGGCTATTGTGGCTACAATGCCACCTTTACTCAAATGTTGTTAACTTACTCAGTTTTCTATGACCCAGCAGACAGTGTAACTGAGGCACATTTCCTTTGTGTCGTATACATGACAGAGAGGAGTCTGTTCCCTTCCCCAAAACCTGGAAGCTTCCCATGTCCATTAGTAGATGAGGTAGACCAAATGTGTGCTTATGTCTTTGTTCATAGCTTGTTTTTCCTTATAATATGTTGCCATTCAACATTAGAGTATTCAGTATTCGAGGAAGCTTGTACTCCAGAATTCCTGAACATAACTTTTCCTCAGAACTCCAAAGTCCCATTCCAGCAAATCTCCCTGCCCCTTATTCCACTTTCAGCTGAAAGAGCTGACAAATTTGGGCAAAATCGGAACCACAACCGCGGCACAGCCGCTGCATGGTTCTAACAAGAAACTGTGCCGGAGGTCAGTTTCAAAGTGTCCCTCACTTCTGACAGCAATGGTTCTGTTATTCCATTCCCATCCACTCTGCCACACATAACAACTGCTTGCTGTGCCATACAGCTGCTGTCTGTTCCTCCACTTGGTAAAGTTGAGTATACAAAACTGACCTAAACGAATGTAAGAATTTAAAACCCCAGTTCAGGCTGAGATTGGCAGCCCAAAGCTTTCATGGAGAAGGCTGTCCCTGTCCCACACAGAATCAGAGGACAGTACAGCACAGCAGGAGGCCATTCAGCCCCAGCAACGTTGCATCAGATGAATCCAGGATAGGAGCAAATTACTGCAGATGTGGTAGCCAGATCAATCCACTTAGTCCTGGCTCCTGCTCTTCTCCTCTACCCTGACAAATTATGACTCCTTCAGTATTTATCCAGTTCCCTTTTGAAAGCTACTTTTAATCTTTCCCCACTGGCCTACCAGGCAATGCATTCCAAATCCTTTCTTACAAGAAACATTTCTCCTCGTGTCTATAAGACCTATAATAAGACACTTTCTAAATAAAAACAAGTTGTTCACTTCTTGATGCAGAATTGTTTTATAAGGAATCTAGATTTTCAGAAACATGGGAGCCTGTAGGATTCCTCAGTGTAGCAGTGCTGTATGGAGAAATGTTGATTGGTTTCTTTGGAAATAAAAATGGGAAAATTTTGGGAATATTCAGCAAGCCAGACAATATCTTTGGAGAGAAGCAGAGTTCATTTTCAGATCTGTGACCCTTCATTGAGGAAGGGTTAGAACTCTAATGGGTTTGAGGCAAGTATAGAGCAGAGGGAGGCAAGAGGACCAAAATGAAAAGGTCAGTGACAGGTAGGGGATCTAGAAGAGATTCACTACAATAAGGGGTGATGGTGAAAGGTGGTGGGAAATGTTAATGGAACAAGCAAGGAAACAAAATATGGATCTGCAGGAGGTGTAAGTGACAGATTCAGGATTATCAGCAACAGTTTAGTTCAAAACAATGAGATTGGAAGGTATGGGAAGAAATTTTGGACACGATTTTGAGTTGGGACGGTTGCAAAGCACCTAATGGAATAGTGAAGTGCTCTTATTTGACCTTACATTAAACTTCATTGGAAGAAGTGTCAGAGTAGGAGAGTGGCGGGAAATGGAATTAACAGGCAACCTGGTGCTCCAGGTCACATTTGTAGACTGGAAGGAAATGTTCAGTATAGAGGAGGGTGCATCATGAGTAGTGAATACAGTGTACCAAATGGAAAGGGAATGAATAAATTATTGTTCCACCTGGAAGGAATGTTTAGGGGTAACTGAGATAACAGAGGTGTAGAGCTGGATGAACACAGCAGGCCAAGCAGCATCAGAGGAGCAGGAAAGCTGACATTTCGGGCCTAGACCCTGTTCATCCAGCGCTACACCTTGTTATCTCAGATTCTCCAGCATCTGCAGTTCCTATTATCTCTGAAACAAGGAGGGTCTAGGCCCAAAACGTCAGCTTTCCTGCTCCTCTGATGCTGCTTGGCCAGCTGTGTTCATCCAGCTCTACACCTTGTTATCTCAGATTCTCCAGCATCTACAGGTCCTACTATCTCAGGAATGTTTAGGGCCCTGGACACTTGGAAGACAGGGAATAAAAAGATAGGTAACGCATAGATGCATGGCTGTTCTATTAATCAATGTTGACTAACAAATCCCATTCTTTCATATTTGGTCTAATATCATATTTGTTGGCAATGTGAGCAAGATTTTGGGGCTTCCAGCTCTTCCTTTCACACTTACCATTGGTGTAGATCCTGATGATATTTTGAATTCACGATCAGTAGGATGGAATTGAACTTTCAGCACTGCACATCTGTTTATCCCCCCTATTTGCTGATATGAAGAAAGATATATCAACTCAAAACCTGCAAGGAAAAGAAGTCTTTTTATTTCCAAAATAATGTGTCCACAATCACAAGGCCATCCTGGTCAATACTGCATATTGTCTAATAGTAAATCAACAGAGAAACTGCACAAATAGTGTGAGGGGGGCATTTTTTGAAGAAGAAGAAGAATAATAAGGTTTGCTAAATGCTGTATCCATGAATTCCCTGTCAATGTGAAATCTATTTTTTTTTTGGGGCGGGGGGGTGGTGGGGAGATCCAGATGGATCACCTGGCATCAACCTACACACCGGAAAAGACGACGGCAGAAACAGCCCTGTCAACCCTGCAAAATCCTCCTCACGAACATCTCTGGGTTTGTGTCAAAATTGGGAGACCTGTCTCACAGACTAGATAAGCAACAGCCTGACATTGTCTGTAAGGTATGATTCAATGAGTACTACTATGTCCCAGACACCACCATCACCGTCCCTGTATATGTCCTGTCCCACTGGCAAGACAGATCCAGCAGAGGTGGTGGCACAGTGATAGACATTCGGGAGGATGTTGCTCTGAGAGTCCTCAGCATTGACTTTGGTCCCCATGAAGTCTCATGGCTTCAGGTTAAACACAGGCAAGGAAACCTCCTGCTGATTACCAGAAACCATCCTCCAACCTGAACAACTTGGAGGAAGGACTGAGGATGGCAGGGCACAAAATGTACTCTGGGTGGGGCATTTCAATGTTTACCACCAAGAGTGGCTCAGCAGCAGTACTACTAATCGAGCTGGTCAGGTCCTAAAGGACATAGCTACTAGACTGGGTCTGTGGCAGGTGGTGAGGGAACCATCAAGAGGGAAAACATACTTGACCTCATCCTCCCCAATCTGCCAGCTTCAGTTGCATCTGTCCATGACAGTATCATTAAGAGTGACCACCACATAGTCCTGGTGGAGATGCAGTCCTGCCTTCACATTGAGAATAACCTCCATTGTGTTGTGTGGCACAATACCGGGCTAAATGGGACAGGCTTCGCACAGATTTAGCAACTCAAGACTGGGCATCCATGAGGCACTGTGGGCCATCAACAGCAGCACAATTGTACTCCAGCACAACCTGTACCCTCATGGCCTGGCATGCTCCCCACTCAACCATTACCATCAAACCAGAAAATCAACCCTGGTTCAATGAACAGTGCCGGAGGGCATGCCAGGAGCAGCACCAAGCATACCTAAAGATGAGGTGTCAACCTCGTGAAGCCACCAAACAGGACTACTTGCACGCCAAATAGCGAAAGCAGCAAGTGATAGACAGAACCAAGCGATTCCCACAATGGGTCAGGTCTAAGCTCTGCAGTCCTGCCACATCCAGTCGTGAATGGTGGTGGACAATTAAACAACTCACTCGAGGAGGAGGCTCCATAAATACCCCCATCCTTAATGATGGAAGAGCCCAGCACATCACTGCAAAAGATAAGGCTGAAGCTTTCGCAGCAATCTTCAGCCAGATATGCCCAGTAGATGATCCATCTCAGCCTCCTCCCGTGGTCCCCAGTATTACTGATACCAGTCTTCAGCCAATTCGATTCACTCCATGTGATATCAAGAAATGGTTGAAGTCACTGAATTCTGCAAAGGCTACGGGCCCTGACAACATTCCAGCAATAGTACTGAAGACTTGTGCTCCAGAACTTGCCGCTCCCCTAGCCAAACTGTTCCAGTACAGTTACAACACAGGTAACTACCCGACAATGTGGAAAATTGCCCAAGCATGTCGTGCACATAAAAGCAAGACAAATCCAACCCGGCCAATTACCACCCCATCTGTCTTCTATTGATCATCAGTAAAGTGATGGAAGGTGACATCAACAGTGCTATCAAGCAGCACCTGCTCAGCAATAACCTGCTCAGTCACGCCCAGTTTGGGTTCTGCCAGGGCCACTCAGCTCCTGATCTCATTACAGCCTTAGTTCAAACATGGACAAAACAGCTGAATTCTAGAGGTGAGGGGAGAGTGACAGCCCTTGACATCAAGGCTATACTTGGCCAAGTGTGGCATTAAGGAGCCCTGGCAAAACTGGAATCAATGGGTATCAGGGGGCAAACTCTCCGGTGGTTGGAGTGATACCTGACACATAGGAACATGGTCGTGGTTGTGGGAGGTCAAACATCTCGGCTCCACGACATCTCGTAGGGGTTCCTCATTGTAGTGCCCTAGGCCCAACCATCTTCAGCTGCTTCATCAATGATTTTCCCTCCATCATAAAGTCAGAAATGGGGATGTTCGCCAATGATTGCACAATGTTCAGCACCATTCACGAGTCCTCAGTCAGTGTTCAAATGCAACAAGATCTGGACAACATCCAGGCTTTGGCCGACAAGTGGCAAGTGACATTCGTGCCACACAAGTTCAAGGCTATGACCCTCACCAGTAAGAGACAATCTAACCACCACCCCTTGACATTCAATGGTGTTAATGTCACTGAATCCCCCACTATCAACAACCTGGGGGTTACCATTGACCACAAACTCAACTGGACTCACCACATAAACACAGTGGCTACAACAGCAGGTCAAAAGCTAGGAATACAATGGCAAGTAACTCACCTCCTGACTCCTCAACGCCTGTCCACCATCCACAGGGCCAAGTCAGGAGTGTGATGGAATACTCCCCACTTACCTGGATCAGTGTAGCTCAAGAAGCTTGACACCATCCAGGACAAAGCAGCCCACTTGATTGGCACTACACCCACAAGCATCCACGCCCTCCACCACCAATATTCAGTAGCAGTAGTGTGTACTAATCTATAAGATGCGCTGCAGAAATTTACCGAAGATCCTCAGACAGCACCTTCCAAACCCACGACCACTTCCATTTAGAAGGACAAGGGCAGCAGACATATGGGAACACCACCACCTGCAAGTTCCCCTCCAAGCCACTCACCATCATGCCTTGGAAATATATCACTGTTTCTTCATTGTCGCTGGGTCAAAATCCTGGAATTCCCTTCATAAGGGCATTGTGGGTCAACCCACAGCAGATGGACTGCAGCAATTCAAGAAGGCAGCTCTCCACCACCTTCTCAAGGGCAACTAGGGATGGGCGATAAATGCTGGCCAGCCAGCGACGCCCACATCCCGCAAATGAGTAGAAAAAATATGATTATATGACACAGGCACAGCGTGGGATGAGGATCTAGAAATCATCCAGGTGTTGGGTTCCCAAGTTAAAAATCAAGCACAGCAAGTCTGGATTTTGGGTCACTGACTACCACCTTGTGTGGATGATAATCCTTGGATATTACTTAGTTACCTTCATTATATTCTTCGTCCTCACTTTCTTCATCTGCTTCAGAGTCATTGTTTTTACTGGACATGCTTCCACTTCCACACCGATTCCATTTACTTTCCCCTACAGGATCAAAATTGGGAAAGTTACAATCATTGTCTTTTCTTCCCTTCTTTTAAATAAATTCATAGTACATTTGTGTACCATTTGTAAGTGTGCATCTAGCACAATTTAAAGCATTTTAAAGAACTTTTGGATTGCTGTCAATATTGCTACGTTGCTGTGCGCTGATTCTCTTAACTAAGTTTCAGGAACAACACTTGCTTTGACTGGTCAGTTAAGAACTTTTGCTTTTGAGAGAGGAAGTTTCGCCAGGCCTGCTTTGTCCTGGAAGAGGATCTTGCACAATCGTTCGAGCACTTCCCTCAACACTGCACTGCACTGAACTGCCAGCATACATTATGTGTACAAATCTTGGAATGAGGGTTAAACACTGAGGCAAGAGTTTTCCCCAACACACCAAAGATGACATTACGTTCACTAGGCTGCAGGGTAATGTGTGTTCAATGAGATAGAGCCACTAAGGGGGAAACTGACTCCTGTCTAGCCATCTTTTGAATGAGGAACTGGAACTCTGGGAGATCAATTTCTAGGCATGAATGTGTGTGCTTAGTCTCCTCCAGAAGATTGATAATCAGGGCCAAATTCGACAGAATTTATGCAGTACATTCTCCACAGTGACTCAGTAATCTGTTTCTGCACCAGAAACTGCAGCAAAGTGGATTGTATGCTTGCAGACATTAGCTGAACTACAATTCCAATACGATCATGAATAGAATAAGGATTCAGCTAGATGCATGGTCCATCCAGTGGAAGGCCACAAGAAAAATCGCAACTGGCTGGAAATAGGGTGCCACAGGATTGCACATTGATTTTATCTTTACTACCTCAAGGTGACTACAACAGATGCATTTTAGGGAAATTAAATAGACACATGAGAGAGAGAGAAAGGAATGGAAGGCTATGTTGATAGGGTAACATGGAAAAAAGGACAGGAGGTGGTTTCTGCACAGCATAATCACTGGCTCAGACCTGTTGGGCTAAATGGCTTGTTCCTGCAATGTAACACTGTCCCACTTCTTTAGACAAACCAAGTTCAAATGACCGCTTTGCAGAACACCTACGCTCGGTTCGCAATAAACAACTGCACCTCCCAGTCGCGAACCATTTCAACTCCCCCTCCCGTTCCTCAGATGACATGTCCATCCTGGGCCTCCTGCAGTGCCACAACGATGCCACCCGAAGGTTTCAGGAACAGCAACTCATATTCTGCTTGGGAACCCTGCAGCCCAATGGTATCAATGTGGATTTCACAAGCTTCAAAATCTCCCCTCCCCCTACCGCATCCCAAAACCAGTCCAGCTCGTCCCCGCCTCCCTAACCTGTTCTTCCTCCCACCTCAAGCCGCACCCCCATTTCCTACCTACTAACCTCATCCCGCCCCCTTGACCTGTCCGTCCTCCCTGGACTGACCTATCCCCTCCCTAACTCCCCACCTACACTCACCTTTACTGGCTCCATCCCCGCCTCTTTGACCTGTTTCCTCTCCATCTATCCTCTCCTCTATCCATCTTCTATCCGCCTCCCCCTCTCTCCCTATTTATTTCAGAACCCCCTTCCCCTCCCCCATTTCTGATGAAGGGTCTAGGCCTGAAACGTCAGCCTTCCTGCTCCTATGATGCTGCTTAGCCTGCTGTGTTCATCCAGCCCTGCACCTGGTTGTCTCAAATCATTTCCATTGCCTTTTCCCAGCTGCATTCTAAAAAGTAGCGATTGATTTTCTTGCGAACTAGCTTCTGACTGCAGGAGACTGAACAATTAAAACAGTCTCTTAGTGCAATGTGTTTTTCTAAGGTTCTCATTCACTGCTAAGTGTGGGAGATGAATAATGACAAGGTACAGCTCCTAGCAATGGGCACTTGTTACTGCTTGTGAGAAAAATAAACCTTTAACCAACTGGCCTTTCACTAGAGAGTACAATAAATATTTGTGTTAGAGCAATACATAGTTTATGTTAAATCAAAATGTTTTTAAGTACCTGATGAAGAAAAAGGGAACTAAATGTGAGCATAATGTATCTACTAAAAGTACTTCCTTAGACTTTCAAATGCCAGTCAGTAATTGCTCATAAGTAACACATTCTGAAATATTAATCATTACCTTGAAGTTTCTGAATTTTTGAACAGTTCGAGATTACTAATCTGTTCTGAGGAAGGGACACTCGACCCAAAACTTGAACTCTGATTCTCTCCAAAGATGCTGCCAGATCTGCTGAGCTTTTCCAGGAATTTCTATTTGTGTCTCTGATTTACAGTATCTGCAGTTATTTTGGTTGTTATTGAGATTATTAATATTTAGTTCTTCAGCCTTACCTGCCAGTGACAGAGTCAGCTGGACACGTATACATGGGCTACATTTCTCTTTGCAGTAGAGTGTGGTGGAGGTTGTTAAGTTATTCAGTAGGAGTCTGTTCACAGGCATACCTTCACTAATTTCTTCACAGCCACAGTCTGTTAAATAAGAGTTATGAAACAGCAAGGGTAATTGGATTGCAGATAGATCAGAAAGTACAAGGGTCACTTGGCAAAGACAAAGTAACTGCCAAAACAGGCTAGATGGTAACATTATATCCCAAACATTAAATTTCACAACAGCAGGAATGACAGCATGACTGCCTCATAATCCACAGAATGAACTTTGAAGTCACTAAGTTTCAAAGGTGTAGAGTCATAGAGGTATCAAAAGTGTAAGAGGCCCTTTGGCCCAACAAATCTGTACCAGTCAAATATAAGCACATAAATGTTCTAATTGCATTTCCCAGCACTTGGCCCATAGCTTTATATGCCTTGGCATCACAAGTGCACATCTAAATACTTCTTAGATGTTATGTACACTTAGGATAACTAGTCAAGTTGAGAAATTACATTTTGCTTTGAATATAGCTAGACTTGCCTGCAACTGCTCAATGCTACTGTATGATGCATAAATTAGAATCTAAGACAATGGAAGGTAAATAGAAAGGCAACAGAGATGTGGGTGGAATTTTGCGCACACTCCCAAGAGGTATTTAGAGGCAACAGTGGCAATTAATCAGACTATATTGGCACTGCGTGGGTCTCCGCTTTGCCATCAGTTGAGGCCCTCAAGTGGGTGATTAATAATATTCAATCACCAGCAGGCAAAGCAGTCACCATGTGGGTAACCCCAACCTATTCCCACCTTTCACTTCCTTGTTGTCAGGGTCGCTCAGTGATCCCAGGTCTCTCCCCGATTGCACCGCCTACACCTGCCACTGCTCCCACTAACACTGTAGGCAACGATCAGCTACTGGTTTCTGATAGCTCTCAGGGTGGGGTTTCCACCGTTGGGATCATTAGTCACGATAAGAGAATTAAATTTCTTGGGTGAAAGAAACTGGAAATCTGGTAGTGACTGGTAAAATAGGAGAGGGTAACCGAGCAAGAGAGAGACCAAGAAGGAAACGTATAGACAAAGTCACACAGACATTCCCCAACTAAACTATTTCCACTTGCCTGCATTTGGCCCACATCCCTCTAAACCTTTTCAATTCATGTACCTGTCCAGATACATCTACCATTTCCTTTTGAAGAAGTGAAGCTCAATGCAAGCTGGAGGAATAACACTTCATTTTATGTTCAGGCAATTTACAGCCTCCAGTACTTAACACTGAATTCCACAATTTCACAGCATGATTCCTATCCTCCATTTTTCTTACATTCCCCCACTCCACCCCCCAGCCATATCTTTTTTGTGTCTTGTTGACTTTTTCCCTTTTCATCCCATCATTTATCCAAATTTATATATTTTTTACTCCTTTAATCACCATTAGCATCATCTTTGTCTTTTGCTCTGGGTACTCTCATAATCTGTTCCACTCGTTCCCCTCGGTCAGCAGCATATATATCACCATTCCCAAAGTTTGAGTTCTGAAGAAGAGTCAAACAGGACTCAAAATGTCAAACTCTGTTTCTCTCGCCACAGATGTTGCCAAATTGACTGAGCTTCTCCAGCATTTTCTGTTCTTCTTTTGTTTTAGAACAGGTTCAAGACATTAGTTGCTAGCAAGGACCATGAATTGGACAGCCATGGTTGCCTATGTTATAAAACGTGACACCTAAAGAAGTCTTTTGATGAGATTTTACTCTCTGCAGCTAAGTGTGTTACAATGTGCGTCATCACCTCAGTAGCTTATATGAATTAACAGGAGATTGCCACAGTAAAATTCAACATGAATTTCCCTTTGAGCTGCCAGTGTGGGAGAGGCTGTGAAGTGGGCAGATCTCATTGTCTGAATACTGGGGCTTTTGCTGATTATTAGTCAAGTGTAACATAAAAAAGCAAGATGTAATTCACAACTAAATTATTACTATTTGATACCAACAGACTTATAATTATACTTACACTTGGCTTCACACGAAAAGGCCTGCAAAGAAATGAGAGAAACATTTCAAAATTGAAAATGGGAAATATCAGAAATGTCAGTACGTGGCGCATGCTTTTCCTGATGCAAACGGTGATAAAATGAAGTGCAAAGTTTGAAAATTATTCCTTTCCAACAGCGATAGTCTATGAAGAGGTAATAACTTGCACTTGCAATAGTGCCTGAAATATGACAAGAGCCCAAGCAACCAGTTTCAGGGTGGGTTCTCAGTCTGAGAGAGGATGAAAGTAGGGCCATAAGAATGAAAAGAAGAACTTGCATTTATATAGCTTCTTTTCCCACCCATGATGTCCCAAAGCACTTTACAGAAAGGGTGTATTTTTGTAGTGTAGTTACTTATTCAGCAGCTCATTCACACTCAGCGAGCTCCCATAAACCAAAATGCAACAATGGCCTGCTTTTGAGATATTGGTCGAGGGATAAATATGGACCACCGCACTGGCAATGACTCCCCTGCCCTTTTTTGAGATTATAGTACCATGGTGACTTTTACCTACTAATTAAAACAGTCAGGGCCTCAGTTCATCATGCACCAGATACCCAATGGTCTTAAAAGCAGCTGCAAACTCATTGATGAAATTGATTGGAAACACAGAAAGAATCTAGAATAAAAGTCTAAACATTACAGCAATCATCACTGAGATGATTGGTTTGCGACTAGTTTTCTAATAACTGCAGGAAGACTTGTAGAGCAGGAAATTATCAGACACATTCTGGTTGAACTAGGTGCCATTCTTCATATTCCAAGCAGTCTAGGCACCTCCCATTCCTGCAGTCAAAATTTGCTGAGTCACACAGTTCCTTTCCCCAGGCCTGCTGCAAGTTCAATCTCCATTTGTTTTGTTGGACTGAAGCCATTAATATTTCTGTATCTGCAGTGGTCTCTTGCAGTTCTCTAGTTACCTCCCCCTTTTACTAACTTTCATTTCAGCCGCAGCAAGTACTGCTCCCAGTCCCAGTTTAAGACCACAAGACATAGTGGACCATTCAGCCCCAATGAGTCTGCTCCACCCATTTAAAAGAGACCATGGCTGATCTGATAACTTTCAACAACTCCACTTTCCCACCTTATCCCCACAACCCTCGATTCCCATACGGATTAAAAATATATCTCGGCCTTGAATATACTTGAGGACTTGGCACGATAAACTTTTGCAGGGAAGAATTTCATAGATTAGCTACCCTCAGAAAGAAATAAAAATCCTCCTCTTCACGGTCTTAAGTGGGCAAGCCTTACTCAGATTTTACCCTCTGGCCCTAGATTTCCCCACAAATGACAAACATCCTCTCCTCATCTACCCTCTCCAGCCCCAAAGAATATTATATTTTCAATAGGGTCTCCTTTCATTCTTCAAAAAGCCTAACCCACTCAACCTCTCTTTATAAGAAAACCTCTCCATACCTGATATCATCCTTGTGAACCTTCTCTGGACTGTCTTCAATGCCAGTATATCTTTCCTTACTGTTCACATTATCCTATCAAAACTGTTCACCATATTCCAACAATGGTCTGACTGGTTCCTTGAACAGTTTTTGCAAGATCTCCCTATTTTCATGCTCCATTCCCTTTGAAGTAAAGGCCAATAGCCCATTTGTCTTCCCTATTACCCCCTGAACTTGGCTGCTAGCTTTTTGTGATTCATGCAGGAGGGCCCTGAAATCCTCCTGTGCTGCATCTTTCTGCAGTCTTTCCCCATTTAACTAACATTCAGCTCTTTTATTCTTCTTACCAAAGTGCATCACCTCACATTTCCCACTTTATATTCCAAATACCAAGTTTTTGCCCGTTCACCTAACCTAGGTATATCCTTCTGTAGATTCCTTTTGTCATCCTCATTATTTGCCTTCCCACCTAGTTGTGTCATCTGCAAACTTGACGATAGTAAATTCACTTTGCTCATCAAAAGTTGTGAATATACATTTTAAAATTATTGTGGCCCCAAGCACTGATCCTTGTGCAACTCTACTAGTTACAGGTTTGTCATCCTAAAAAAGTCATCTTTACTCCAACTCTGTCTTCTAATAGTTAGCCAATCCTCAATCCATGCTTATGTACTACCCACAACATCACATCTTATTGGATTCAGTAGCCTTACGTGTGGTGTCTTATTGAACAATTTATGGAAATCCAAATTTATTATTTCTACTGTCATCACTGCACTTCAAATCTCCAAACTCCTAATTAATATTTTGAAATCAGCCTTCTCAATCTGCAGCCATTCATTTGCAATAGTTATTACAAACAATGTACAGTGTCTAAGTCATTACTCACGCACTCTTCAATCTCAACTCTTCAGTTACCTCATTCTAGCATCCTGTATTTTGTAGTCAGCAGGTCTCAATCTTCAGGCACCACACTTACTAAAAACCTTCATACTTCTATCTGACAGGCTGTAGAGTTTCATATCCAAGGCTGCATTCAATGCACAAGCACCCATGTGAAATCAGTCTATCAATGCCACTCTTTAGTCATTTCACAAATGCCACTTGCCTGTCATTATGCATGGGCGTCTGCACTAAGCTCACAAGTTTAATCCTTGGCCAGGGGAAGCTCCCTCTATCTGCTCAAATTGTCTCAACAAGAGACAGACAGGAATTTTCTCCTCACCACTGCCCAACACCCAAAATGTTAACAGCTAGAAAAAATACAACCCACACCATTGCAATAGTCACATTTTTCCCACCACTGATTTCACATATTTATTCATGGGATGTTGGTGTCATTGGCTAGGTGGTGGTGAGCCATCTTCTTGAACAACTTCCATCCTTGAGGTGTAGAGACACCCACAGTGTTGTCAAGGAGGGAGTTCAAGAAATTTGACCCAGTGACAGTGAAAGAACAATGACATCGCTCCAAATCAGAATGGCATGTGACTTTGGGCGTGGGGTTGGGGGGTGGAATTGGGTGCGTGGATGGTGTTCCCATGAATTTGCTGCACTTGTCTTTCTAGATGTTGGAGGATGCAGATTTGGAAAGGTGCAAATAAAGGAGTCCTTGTTACTCCAATGTATCTTTTAGATGGTACATGCTACTGCCACTCTGCACTGTGGTAGAGGGAATGTGAAATATTCCATCTCACTCCTAACTTGTGCCTTGTAGATGTCGGACAGGTTTTGAGGAGTTGGGAAGTGTGTTACTTGCTGCAGTATTCCTAACCTCTAATCTGCTCTTGCAGCCATAGTACTGATATGGCTGGTCTAGTTTAGTTACTGATCAATAAAAACCCTCAAGCCGTTGATAGTGGGGTTTTCAGCAATGGTAATGGGAGGGTTAGATTTTCTCTTATTAGAGACAGACAGACAGACAGACAGATAGAGTCACTGCTACTTATTGCCACTTATTAGCCCAAGCCTAGATATTGCCCAGGGCTCACTGCTTATGAACACGGACTGCTTCAGTATCTGAGGAGTTGCCAATGGTGCTAAACATTGTGCAACCATTGGTGAACATCCTCACTTCTGACCTTAGCACGGAGGGAAGGTCATTGATGTTGAGCCTGGGACACTACCCTGAGGAACTACTGTAGTGATTCCCTGAGGTGTTTGACCTTCACCAACCACAGCTATCTTCCATTTTACTCGGAATGACTACCACCAGTGGAGAGTATTCCTCTGGACTCCCAGTTATCTTTTGCTAGAGCTCCTTGCGGTCATACTCAGATGAAATGCAGCCTTGATGTTAAGGATAATTACTCTCTCCCCACCTCTGGAGTTCAACTCATTTGTCCATGTTTGGAACATGTCTGTAATGAGGTCAGGATCTGTGTGGGTGTGGAGGAACCCAATCTGAGCATCAGTGAGCAGGTTATTCCTCTGCGAATGCCAGTATTCAGGATCAGGGCTGAGGGTTTCACAGCAGGAGGTAGAAATGCGGCCAAGGGCCAGGTAAGGAGCAGAATGTGGCAAGAGGTGTGGGGGTCTTGATTTACAGGCAGTATGGTAGCTCTTTGAGGGGGGTTCCTGATATGAAAACAGGGCTTTTGAGGGAGGTACTCCCCCTCCAACTTGTGTGAGGTCTGAGCAGGTTGACATGATGGGATTCTCCTCACCCCTCAGTTCCTCCTACAAGCTTCAAAAATGAGTTTGGGTAAGAACTGGACCTTGTGGCTGATAAGTGGCCATGCAATTAAGGGCTTCAAATGGGACAAGGGAGGGTGGGCTGCCCTAGGTGGAATTTCAGAAAACCTAGAGGCTAGGGCAAAGAGAGGGAGGTGGCAGGAAGGCCAGCGGAGTATTTTACAGGAGGTCTGGCCTACAAACCCAAGAGACAAAAAGGCTCCCACTAAGTGCTCCTTTGAAACTGATGCTCCACAGCCTTGGACTTGCTGAGCACCTGCTGTTTACCACATACCCAACACCACCCCACCACCCCCCCCACCTCCCATTGCCTCACTGGGCTATAAACTGAGTACGAGCTCAGATAGAGGAAGTTGACACTAAAATGATGATCATGGTACAGCCAGAAAGCCTGTCATTCAGGTCAGGCAGGAACAGGAGAAATGTTTTTGAATCGAACAGTGAGAAATGAAAAGGACGTTTGGAAATAACAGGGACTTTCTGATGTGTTGGGAATTCAATGTGCAAAAAGGTGGAGGTGGAGGGTTAGTATTAAGTTCAACGGGTGGGATATTTGGTCCCAAAATTCCACTTTCAGAGAGAGAACAACAGTATATCCAACTGGCAAAGTTTATACACAAGTGCTTTTCTGCTTATTCATCAGTGGGATGTTCTCAAGTAGGTACGTATTTGTTTATTTTGAATACTTGAGCACATGCCTAAAATAATAAAGAGAGAATGTAATGACAATGCATTAAGAATTCTTAGGTGAAGGCTACCGGCTCTTAATCTAAATACCTTTGATATATTACCATTGTTGTTCAGTGGTTGAGCCACGACTGCATTTTGTGCCTCATTCTAAAAGTTGTATAAACCATAATACAGTGGGATGTGTAATTCTTGACTGTCTTAACATCATGTTACAC